TGGGTGCTCTGCTAGCGCCGGGTCGTCTGCTGCTGCTGCTGCTGCTGCTGGCGCTGGGTGGTCAGCTGCTGCTGCTCTGGGTCTGCTGCTTCTGCTGCTGCTGCTCCTTTGTGGTTTGCTGCAGCTGCTTGGTGGTAGACTGCAGATGCTTGGTGTGCTGCAGCTGCTTGGTGGTCCCGCTCACCGCGCGCAGGGGGGACGAACCGCGGGGGGGGGGGGGGCCGTAAGATTGATTTAATCAATTATTTGAGGTTTCTGGGGCGCGTCCACCCCGTCACTTAACTTGCTAAAGCAAGAGCGACTCCAGCTAGCTAAGGCTAGCTTTCGTGAACACTGGTATTTACGGTGTTTTCGAGCCGTTGACCCTATGTCGGGGGCCATTTCTCAGTGAGAAGGGCTCCACTCTGGGTATAATACATTTTTTCTAAAGCAAAAGAAAAACTCAGGTAGCGTAACCGCTACCTTTCGTAATAATTGGTTGGACATTCAAACACTACACACACTTGGCGGGATCAGGAAGGAAGAAGCGCTGTGACTGACAGAAAGAGAGACGACCATGGGCTAGGGCAGCGGCCTCTCGGCACCATTGCTGCCTCAGTCAGCCATAGCCATAGCAGCAAAATCAAAAGCAGTTTCGGAGAACAGCTTATTGTCAAGCACAGGCTTCCGTCGTCAATCCATCTGTTCTTTGACTTCTACCTTCATTGCTCAAAAACACGTCACATGCACCGTCACATGCAAGCACAAAGGCGCCGACTTGCCGGTGGTGATCGTCTGGGCAGGGAATCCTACGGTCAAAGCTACAGAACATGAACATGCTCAGGATGTATAGAGCTATTGAGCCAAATGCGTCCTTCACGCCACCTTCTCCACCGTCGGTTGCCAGAGAACGCTGTAAGCGACCTGGCACCCGCTGGCACCGTTGTGGTTCAGTCTGCTCGCACTGTGAACCTGCCTCCCATGCGTCGGCGCATCACGCGCATCGCGCCGTGCGCAAGCTCCGCGGTGCGGCATGGCAGGTGGGGACACCCGGGCCAAAAGCTACCAAACGGATTCTAAGCAAGAGGGGGAAGTATAGAAAGAGACTTGTGTTTTGATGCGGCAGTAACAAAAAGGCCGCCCTCAACTGCGTGGTATCAATCTCATGCGGTACATTTGGCATAATAGACCTGCCCTGCTGTATATACTTTTTTTTTCAGGTTCCAGTTCCAGACTCCCAACAAGCATCTGCTCTGACTTGGCCAGCCTGTGGCTAAATTTCTGCGCGCATGTCCGAATCGAGAGCAACAACATCTGCCTCCGTGTTGCACCCAAAATCAAACTGGAACCATGTTCGGCCAAGCATCGTAGTCGCCAAGTGGCTCTGCGAGACTTGCCTCAAAATGACTTCGATCGATCCAACGGTGCGCTTACGTCGTGCCTAGAGCCATCAACAGGTATGTTCTTTTCTATAACTTAAGATGCCCTGCGTACCCATCGATGGACTGCCAAAGGCCTACATGTGCTTGATCTTCCGTCCACTTTTGCTCACGAACAACGGCGGGGGCAACTTTGGCCCTTTCGCATGCTTGCTAAGCTGAGGTGCACAGGGTCACGCTTGGGAACCCAGATCCTTATCGACCTATGGACGAGTCACACTAGTCCTCGCTTGGTTTGCGGTGGGAAATCAAGACGCAACCGTGCCACCTGGACAGACATCCGATTCCTGCCTACTTGACAGCTCTGGCCTTCGTAGCACAAGAGCTGACCAGGAATACTCCTACAGGTACCCTCATGGCGGATTCGGGCTCATTGGAAAGGTCTGCAATCGCAGAATGGCAGAACACACTAACTTCATCCAAACTTCCAGCTTTTGCCTAGAATTGTCCCTTGGCTGCTGCTGTCACTTGACAGTTGTGAAGAATTAACTGGGAATGGTGTAATTTTGTCCGCACTTCCGGGATCAGAAGGACAATTCACAATTTGGTTTTCTCTCCCTCATGACGTGTTCAGACGCCTTCGAGGACACCCTGGCACAAGCCTCCGTGCAGATCTCGTTGGATCTGCTAAGGCCCCTAGGGCATCTAGGGCCAGGGATACGGAGGGCTGCTCTGTTCAGTGATTTTCGCAAATTCGTGAAATCACTTGAAGAGCTCCGCAGGCATGGAGGCGTTACCTTCTGCGAGGTGGATAGAACAAAACAACCTTCAGCTGTGCAAATGGCATGACTCGGCGTGACATCTCCCCCCAACTCTGCCAGGCCACATGGTCGTTTGCATCCATGGTCAGCACGATTGTAGAACGCCAGCTGTGCATCGGCAAAGGATGGCTCTTTGCCCAGCTCTGGAAAAGATGCCGGCGTCTGGTGGATTCCGGTGTTTAAAAGCCACTTCACCGCCCAAAAGCAATCTTCACCAACCTTTGCATCTCCACATGGCTCAGACTCATTCTGCGCGACTCCCTTTGCAAAGAGCCTTAGTAGCCGGTGCCTGAGTTTGGAGCCAAATGCCTTATCATGTCTCAATCAATCATGCACCTGGATGCTCTACCCCGAATCCGCTAGGGCGCAATTCGGATGCCTCCTTGGTGCTGTGCACAACACGCACATCCCAGTTGGCGCCATCACCTAGCATGGTAGCATTCTGAAGCATTTTGGAGCATTCGTCATTCGACGTCATTATGTCAACACGACCACTGCCAACAGCCAAGGTGCAGGTGCCATGGAAGCTTTCAGGTAGATCGAATGAACAAGGTGCAGGACAGCCCTGGTTGTTGGCATAGAATGCTGCCTGAAACTCCTCTGCAGACTCATTTTCGAGCTTGGAAAAGCTCAGCTGGAAAAAGCGAGCTTCATTTCTAGATACTCTAGTTACCGTCACTACTTGACAACTTTCTCCTTGAAGGTTGAGGATGGCAACAGTCCAGATGCTGGCCTCATCGCATGACACACAAACAGCGACAAACAACCTTTCAACAGAATGGCTGCGCTCTGTGCAGAGCTAAGGGGCCAAGTGCTAACACCCATCCGCTGTGCACTGGTTCTGGATTTCCACACTTTCTCGTAGCAAGGGCCAGATGTTACATCTTGGCACTTCTGCTGTCCAACATGAAATGGAATCGATGCAGAAGCCTGGCCAAACACACTGTTGCAATTTGGTGTTCTTGCTTGGAGGTACAGACCTGCGCAACAAGAGACTTCAACATGTTCTGCTGCACTGCCTCCCGAATGGTGTGGTCAAAGTAGCGGATCCTCGCAAACCGAAAATCGAAGCTGGGCTGCAGCCTACCTAAACTCAGAACCCGTCCTCCGGGCAAATCCATAAAGGCGATAGCTGCCAGGCTTAAGCATCTCGGTCAAGACCACAGCGCGGTAGCCATTTTTGCAGTGGTAAGCAGCGTGTGGGATGATAGGCAACACCTTTTCAGGCACATTGCCATCTGATAGTGCATTGACGGATGTTTCCTTGGATTGGGTTCCAAGGGGCTCGACAAGGCCAGACTGCTTGCCAGCTATCCAATGGCAATGTGTTTGTATGACGAGCCGCTTCAGTGACGTACCAATCCATCCAAATGTCGCCCTCATTTGGATCATCAGTTGCCTGGGAACCAGCCGCCGCGAGGGTACTGTAGATGCCAAGCTTTCCAGCCGTGAATGAAAATATTACACCAGAACGGACCCCAGATAGCACAACATTTTTTCGGCAGCATAGCAGTTGCACCCACACTCCAAATCGCGCGCTGCCATAGACATCTGGCAGCAACACCCTGCAGCGGCTCCAGCATCCAAACTCCAAAGCGCACGAGGCACAAACATCTGGCAGCAGCAACGAAGCTCCAAAGTGCACACGGCCATGCACAGTTGGCAATGGGACCCTGCAGCGGCACCAGCACGTAGCGCACGTGGTCATGCGCATCTGGCAGCGGTGCCAGCAGCCAGGCTCGAAACCGCACACAGGCACCTCTTCCGATGCTTGAAGTAAGAACCCCAATAGCTCTCGCTATCTGGAGAAAGAAGCCCCCAAAAAAGAACTGGAAAACAGCCCATGACAGTGGAGTCTAAGAGAAATAGTTAGTTGAATAGTATGAAATCCTCAGCGTCGTCCGGGTCCTTCTGGGTCCTTCTGGGTCAAAGCTGCAACGATCTTGAGGTCCACCGGCACCTTAGCACCCTTCTGAGCATTGAAGCCAAACGTCCCGTTGCTCGTCTTGTTGGGCCCATGGACCACCACGCCCTCCAGGTGGATCCTGGACTCGGATGGGTGAGAATTCGGACAGAGCCCAAAAGGATAAGAGCGTTTGGAGCACAGCAAGTGAAGCAACAAATCTTTAGATGTGGATGTCCATGGATTTGCCCCACATGGATCACGACTAGCAAGGGGCCAGCCTCAATTTCACCGGCCATGCCCACTCAGGACTGATCTCATCCAGCATGGGCTGTGCCACGTCATTCAGGAAGCCTCACTACGTTTTCCAGCGTCTCAAGCAGCCGGGAGATGCCCTATGAACTCGCAGAAACTCACACACATGTCACATGCCCAATGAGATGGGAGACTAGCAGCAAGGTGAGAGACAAGCTCTACTGTCATGCGCACAAACACGTAGGACGTAGGCGTCTGTTTGTGACAAGGCGCCATTCGGATCTCCACCGGCCGCTCGCCATTGATCCAACAGGCCGAACCAAGTTCCTGTCTTCTCCCACTTCCAGCCCCAGAAAAAGGCGAAGAAGCCCACACACTTGGCCTGAGGTGTTCACTCAGTGTAAATGACGCCCGAACCAACAGCTTGCATGATGCTTCCGCCAAAGTCTTCTAGTCGTTTCGCTGTTGTGTCTGCAAGGCTTCTTTCGGGCGACATCAGACTTGCATCTATGAAGGCCGTTGTAAATGAACTGCCCCTTGGACGTAGAAGTCCTGAGGTTGAGTGTGCTCCACAACAACCTATCAAAGGCACTGAACACCAAGGCACTGAACTGCTGTGAAGTTGAAAACATCAGGCCGATGGAAACGCGGACCCAACCGCAAGCATCAGGCCAGGCCGCACTTGGTACTCACAAGGCATTGCAGGCCAGAGGCTAGCGATTTAACGATGGCAACAACAATGCTTGGGCGCACAGCTGGCGACAAGGGAACCCAATAGAACAAAGCACAAAGAGACGCCAGGGCCATACCGAAAGAAGCGGAGAGTGCCAGCAGGGTGACAGCCAGCGAAGAGCTGAGATGAATGTTCTGATTCGCCGAGGTGCAAAGGCTCCATCAAACCACCCCATGAGGTCTTTGGAACCTGCCACGGTGCGGCAGTACCACATTCGGTCAGAGCCTGAGCTAGGTGCAGCTGAAGTTGGTTTGGACTTGACATGACCGTCAAATGGACAAAAAGATTCTTTTTGTCCAGCGCCTGTCCAATCTCTTCCGAGCAGCCCATGGTTTGTCCCATCCAGCGCTTTGCAATTTCTTGGAGATGCCCCAATGGTCATTGCCTTGGGGTCAACCATGCAGGCTCTGAGAGGCTCAGAAGGTCAAACTCCTAAGAAGGCCCACAGGGGCTCATCAAACCTCAAGCTGCCTCTGCAGCCAGGAGCACTTGGCTCCTCATCTGAGCACCATACCATACAAGTTCATGCCCAGGATGTCAACATCTTTGCAAATCTCCGAGAATCTCTGAAGTTTTGACCTTGCATTTCAGAAAACAAGGCTTGCCACTTGTGCCACTAGAGGAGCCAAGGGACGGGTCGCTCCCAGCAATGGCGATGCCAATGGGATGCTTTGAGTCGATTGCTTTGATCTTTTGAGCCATCCTTGGCAAAGCGCGGCATTTGTGAGAAGAACCTAAAACTACCCCGCGCTGCCGTACTGCTTGGCAAATCAAAGTTCACTGCCAATGGCCCTCCGCAGTAGGCATTTGAGAATAGGTGCTGTCTGTTAGTATCACGTGCTTTTAGCATGCAGACCCACACGACATGAACATGCAAAGGTACGCCGCATATGTCTGTGTATGAGTACGCGAGTGCGTCAGGCGGCGTGAACCCAGATTCTCAGATCTCTTGTGACTCTTGTGGCTCTCCGATAGCTATTTCCGCATATTTCTGATGTTTCTTGAGAGGAGAGGAACACAAAAGCACGGCCGCTAGAGCAAGCTCATTCAGGCAAGCAGCCAGTTGACCCGCTTCCACACGCAGTCTTGTCCAGATGCAGGCACTGGAGTTTCCAACTCATTCCCTACCTTTGCCAAAGCCAGCACTTTGATGACAACGATTCAACACAGGCATGCCAGCAGGATCGGTTTTCCTAGTGAGTGCTGCAATCTCAGTCTGGACACAATCCACCACAGAATCCTTCTGTGCTCTTTGTTTTGCATCACTGCGTCCAGTATTGTCTTTGCATGGCTGGCCCACCATTGGCTGTTCTCCATGTCTCGACAGTTCTCCCATCCTTTGTAGTACTTTGGGTCTCGAGTCATGTCGAGGCCTGCCTTAGCCCCACAATAGAATGAAACGAACGACTTCTCCATTCTGAACCTAAAGCAACAAGCTCACTAGGCCAACTTGAGTAGGCCATGTTCATACTCAAGTTTATAAATGGCTTGGGCTTCGGCTTGACGTGTCAAAAAAGATGCCATGATTAATTTTTGAAGAAGCAGGCTGTCCAGCACATCTGTGATGTCGTGCCAAGCTCCCCACCACCACCATTGCATCTGCAATTTCAGCCGACACAAGCGCCCAGCGCAGTGAGTCGATACCCCAAGTGCGGAAAGCCTGCAGGTTTCACGCGCAGAAAGCCTCTTACCCACGTTGAGCCCTACGAAGCCCAGCTTTGGGATGTGCATGCGTCCTTGTTACTAGTATATTGCAAGAAATGCTACTATATAGTAGTAATGCCCTTTGTTACTAGTAGCGATGCCCTTGCTCCTAGTAGCGTCCTTGTTACTAGCAGAAATGCCCTTTGTTACTAGGAGCTTCTTGTTCCTAGTAGTAAGGCCAGGAGCTACTAGTAGCGTCCTTGTTCCGTTATGATTAGGTGATGAAACCTTGAGTGCACGTTCGGCCTCGAATCCCAAATCCTTCGCTAGCTTAGGATGAGAAAATCCTCCAACACCTGCCAGGGCAAAGCCAGCATGGCACTGCGGTTGTTTGGTAACCATGAAACTTTCAAGACCAGCAAGCCCGCCACATCGGCATTTGCCGGACATACAGTCAACTCTCATGCGCCTAGGACTTTACCAGGCAAGCTTCCAATAGCTTTTCCATCGATCTGGAGGTGTCCACTCGACACATCCACGACCTCAGATCGCAGGAACTCTCTTCACGGCGTTTCTCTTCACGGCCAATTCGATCCCAGGAACGCCTGTCGGAGAGTGCGACTCCTTAGCATGGCAGGGAGCCTTTGCTTCATACCCCTCCAGGAAGTAACACCGCTGAAGCATACTACGGCATACTATTTGCAGGCCAAATTCGGTAAGTTGCCGTTGAATCCCCTGATGCTCGAGTGATTGGATGGGAGACCTGCAAATGCCAGCACCACACATTGCTGTTCGGCAGGGTCTGAGTACAACCAACTCTTGCCAGAAAATGTTGAAAAGAAGGCCGAAGTCCGAGAGCCAGGAAGAAGAAAAGAGCGACTCTAGATATCCCCAAATAGCTCCAGAGCCAGTCCCAGGGTTTTGGGCAAAAAGTTGCGATCGGGGCCTGGCTCTGGGAGATACATCTCGCTAGCCACTATATAGGGGCACTCGGGCACATTTTCAGCCAGCAGTATTGGTTAGTGTGTC